TCTTAATAAAAGCACAGTGCACATCTTAATAAAAGCACAGTGCACATGGGGAACATTTGATGAAAAGTTGTCATCAGTTGTTTACTAGCGTTAACACTAATTCCTGGGAAAACTGAAAAGCAACCCTATTCCACCTTCATAGAGATGAAAGACTTTATCCCCAAATTTTTTGCAACAGGCTGAACAAATAAAACAAAAAGACTAGCTACAGAAAAAGAAGCATGCTTCGAAACACAAGGTTGAGGCCTCCACACAATATCGTCGAGAAATTGACAGTTCTGTCCACTAGCAACATGCTAACAATTTCAGGGTGCGCACCAGCACGGGCTTGCCTTGACTCTAATTGTAATAGATTGAGGTAAACTGTAATCCTGAGTGTGAAACTAGCCCCTACATCCTTCCTCAACTCACTAATTAGATCCTCGATCCTTCCTCACTCCAAACTTGATACCCTCATCTTGAAGAATCCCAACGAGCTCATGAAATGAAGATTTTGGAAGCTGCGGTGGACAATGTTGTGAAGGTGGAAGGAGGATATTGGGGTCAGAAACTCAGTTTGTGGTTACAGGTCACTGAGATTATCTTTCCATGGTCAAGGAGTTCCAGAAAGAGGGATGTAGTTGGTAGCAAGGCTACAGAGACAGTGATGGGTGCTGGACGAGGAAGGAGCACAGAAATACAAGTTGAAATAAAGAAAACTAAGTTAAATTTTAGCAACAGGGGAGGCAATGGCCCAGTGGTATTCTCACTAGACTGTTAATCCATATACTCAGCTAAGATTACGGGGGCCAGGGTTCAAATCCTGAATTCAATAATGAATCTTGAATTAAGAGAGTGTAATGATGAGATGAAACCATTGCCAATTGTCAAAAATACACATTAGTAATGTCGTTTTGGGAAGGAAATCTATCATCCTTACCTGGTCTGGCCTACATGTGACTCCAGAAGCAATGTTGGTTGACTCCTAACTACCCTCTAGGCAGTTAGGGATGGGCAATAAATGCTGGCCTAGCCAGAGTCACCCACATTCCGTGAGTGAATAAAAAATACCTACAAGAAAACACTATGCTATAAAACTGTTTTACTCCCAACATTGTTTAACAATTTCAGTGAAATTTTTTGAAATAACCAATCAAAATCCACATTGTAAATGATGTAAGGTTGACACCATCTGCATTAGTTTTCTCAGTAAAATTTAAACAGTAAATGGGATAAGCTTCACACTAGAAGTTAGAGTTTTAGGAGTTAAAAAAAATCTATTCACTAAAAAGGCAAAAACACTTGGTGAAATGACCATTAGGATATTAATACAAATTAAGCAGGTTAACCTGAGGCTTTTAATTTATAAAAGCTGCAGCAAAAAATACAAAGACTGTAACGGCAATAATAGAGAAAGCCTTTTGGATACCTTGAGGTCTTCTTAACTCACCTGACAGAGATGTATAACCATTTTCTAGGATCAGAAATGCAAGTACAGAGTAAGTATATAACAAACTTGCTCCAGAATACAGAACAGGAGTAGTGAGATTGAAATTGTAAGAAACAAAATGAGAGAGTGATTAAAATCTTTGTAACTGCACCTATAACGAAATAATGCTTTTCTCTTACTTCTCGTTTTGCTAGCAGCACATTCGGTACTATGTGTGGTAGACATCGTCCCAACATCAGCATTACACACTGCTCACTATCTGCGATTCGAGAAACCTGGACAAGGGGGAAACAAACTTTATTTATGCAACTATTTGTACAGCTCTGTTGTTTAAAATTGTGTTTTCATTGCAAATTGGCAAAATAAAATTGAAAATAAAAGCAGATGTCCACAGTCTCAATTATCTGAAATGATGGTGTCACCACCATGGTATCAATAACTGACCAGCTTCACATCACACCCTTCAACAGCTGTGGAATTACCTTTCCAACAAAGCACCCATGGACCTTTAAGAAGGTTTATCCATTACTCAGATGCAAGTGCAAGGGCTCCTCATGTCTTAATAGAGAGTTTAACATTTCCAATTTCCCCTCAGTTTCACAAGTAGAATTTCCCCCAAATTATTAGTGCGTTCATCCATGCTTCAATGTTCTCTGTTCTGATTTGGAAGCTACTTTGTCATCCAATGGTAGAGTTCTCAACTCAAGTTCTTCACTTTCACAAAGACAAATGATAGGTAAGGACAAGAACACAGCTTCCACTTACTGTGTAAAAGCTTCTAGGAAATGTACCTATCCTTCTTGCTCATACTTTGCTTTAAAATGGGAATAAACATGCAAGTAAGATTAGAAATGACCTCTTTAGTGTTGCACTTGCTGACCATGTGTGAGCGGTCACCAAAATTCTGAGAGTTTGCTTGTTTGAATAATTGGAAAGCTTAAAAAAAAGCACACAGAATCCCTCCAGTGTGGAAGGTGGTAATTAGGCCCATCGAGTCTGCACCAACCCTCCAAAGAGCATCCCACCCAGACCCACCCTATTCCTGTAACCCCACACTTCCCATGGCTAATCCACCCAGCCTGCACATCCCTGACAATACCGTGCAATTTAGCATAGCCAATCCACCTAACCTCCACATATTTGGATTTTCGCAGGTAATGCAGAGCACCCAGAGGAAACCCATGCAGCAACAGGAAGAACGTGCAAACTCTACACAGACAGTTGCCCAAGTCTGGAATAAAACCCAGGTCCCTGATGCTGTGAGGCAGCAGTGCTAACCACTGAGAAGACAGAACCCACCTTGCATGCAAGTATTCACTGTGTACACGGGTTTGAAATTACCACCCTTCAAGGGACAGTGCATTTTTCTTGTGGCTGCATCAAATGTAGGGATCTCCCCTGCAAATTGGATGCCTCCAATCTCCAACTTAAAGCTACCATAAATCATTAACTCTTGATAAAGGAAAAATCAGAGGTACTTAGCATCCATCATCCAGTTCTGGACTGACAAATGAACAGAAGGAGTGAAATGGTACAGAACAGTCTCACAAACAGAAACCTGCATAAGTTAAGATTCACATGACAACTACACACCAATATTCAACATATTAAACAGGAATCTCATTCTAAAGATCACAGAGAATACACTTTAGGTCTATATAAATGAAAATTTTGAACCAAGAGTTTACCTCTGCGCCCAAGCGACTGTCAGTTGCCATGCGGCAAAAAGACAGCAGTGCTTGATGAAATGCAGGTGATAACGTCCTGAAAACAAAACAGGCATATTGAGCAAAATTTTAGAATTAGAACTTTTACAGTATACAGTTATAATATGCTTAATTAAACCCATCATAAGCAGTTTAATGGTCAGCTATTCTTGGACACACCTCACCTTGCTTTGCTCATCTCAACTCATCATCCAAAATCAGTGGCATTCTCCGGCATTTTAAAAAATTAATTCATGGGAATGTGTCAGTGTCAATGTTAATAATTTATTTCTAGTTGCCCTTGAGAATGCAGTGGTGAATGGCCTCCCTGAACTGCTGCAGTCATGTGGTGAAGAGAAACTGTCTGCATTTTTAGATAGGGAGCTTCAGGATTGTGTTTCAGTGAAAAGTAATAGCAATAAAGCGCAAGTTGATGTGAGATTTAGAGCTGAAGTTGGAGGTGGTAGTGTTGTCTTTATCCCAGCAGGCAGTAGAGATCCTGGGTTTGAGAGGTACTGTTGAAGCTTTGGTGAGTTGTTGCAGCGTCCATCTTGCTGACAGCATACATGTGCTGGGGAACAACAAGTTACAGTGGGCAATGTGGTGCTGATCAAGCTGGTGGCTTCATCTCTGACAGGGCTGAGCTTCACAAGAGGTGCCGGAACTGCACTCACAGATACGTGCAGAATATTCCATCACACTCTTGAATTGATCAGTGCAGACAGTGGACAAACTTTGAGGAATCAGGAGCTGTTACTTAACACCAAACTCCTAGTCTCGGACTTATAAAATTGGTCCAGCCAGGTTTCTGGTTTTCCTCTGACTATTGATGCAGGAGGATTAGCAATGGCATAGTCAAGGGGAGTTTTATTATGTGATGGTCATTGCACTTAAGTGGCAAGTAACAGTCATTAGCCCAACTTCGGAGGTCATACAGGTTTAGCTGCATGTAGGCGCAGAACATTTCATAACTACAGGAGTTGCAAATGGAATGGAACACTGTGGAATCAGTTAGCTCTCTCAATTCTGAATCTAAAATGGAGGCAAGATTATGAATCAAACAACTTCCATAAGTTTAGTTTCCAGTGTCTGGAACCCCTGCAGCAAAGGCTTGGGTGAGATGACTGACCTTCAGTAGCCACAGCCATTTTCCTTTCTGCTTATTGTAGAAAAGACCAACATCTCTCTCAACACTGGATTCTAATCCCACAGCACAGACAATGTTAAAATCAACACAGGCCAGAATCAGTATGTCTTGAACTAGGATCTTAACTTGTTTAAAAATGATTGGAGGCTTCATTAGGTTGATCCTGGGTATGGAGGGAGGTTCAAGTAGAATTGGTAGAAAGGAGTTGTCCACGGATGAATGGAACTTCCTTCACTAGACAGTAGTCAATCTGTGACATTATTTAGCAGAGGGGTGTAGAGGCTGCATGGTTCAGCATATTCAAGGTTGAGAGACAGATTTTGTCAGCAAGGGAACCAAGGGATATGGGGAAAAGGCAGGAAAATGGAGCCGAGGATCATCACAGCAGTCACAAATAGCAGAAGAGATTTGGTGGGCTGAATGGCTGACTTCAGTTCTGACATCTTAGTCTTATGATCAGATGGAGGAAAGAAAAATGGAAAAGGACTTTGTTTATATGGTCTTTCACGAACTTGGAATGCCCTGAAGCTCTTTAAGCCAATTAAGTATTTTTCGAGTGGCATTACTATTGCAATGCCAGCAATGCAGCAGCCAACTGGTGTACAGCAAGCTTACCAGCAGTGAAAACAATAATAAGATCATAAGACACTTGTTAAACCTCAGTTGGAGTAATGTACAGTTGTGGGCACCACATCATAGGAAAGACATTGGAGACAGTGCAGAAGTGATTTACAAGAATGAGAAACTTTAGTTTTGAGGATAGATTGAAGAAGTTGAGACTGCTCTCCTTGGAGGACAGGGGGCTAACAGGAGGTCTCATTGAGGTTTTCAAAGTCATGAGCGAGCTGGATTGAACAAATAAGGAGAAGCTGTTCCCACTCATAAAAGGAACTAAAATAATAGGACAAAATTGGAAGTGATATGCAAAAGAAGCAAAGGTGATGTGAGAAAAATCTTTTTCACACAGAATAGTTAGGGTGTGGAGATGGTTCAATTGAGACATTCAAGAGGGCATTGGATGATTATTTGGATAGAAATAGTGTACAGGGATATGGGGAGAAAGCAGGAGATTGGCACTAGGTAATGACACTTGTTTGAAGAGCCAGTGCAGGCATCAGCCTTACAACCTTCTGCACCATAACAATTCTGAGATTCATTTCAGGCATTGTTTGACGGATGAATCTTGACGAGGAGATGCTCACTGTCCTTCTTTGATTGGTGCCATCTAATCTCTTACATTGGACTTGAGGGGCCAGATGTTTTATTCAAACTGACACCTCTAACTGTGTAGCATTCTTTCAGTGCTGCACTGGAAATTCCAACATAGATTATGTCCTCAAGTCACTGGAATGGGATTTGACTCCTTAATTTTTTTGACTCAGCAGTAAGCATGTGACCAGTGATCCAAGGGAGCAAAAATGTTCTACTCTGTTTACCCCTCCACCCAAAAGAAAAGCAAAACCACACCCTGTTTCCTCCACTGAAGTCTCTTGACATTACACACCACCTGAGAATGTTCAACTGTGTGACATTCAGTGATATTTATTACTGACACTCAACCATTTGCTAGTAGTGTTGTCACTATAGGGTGAAAACTTTAAACTGGTAATTACTTCTGTACAAGGAGTACAGATGGTCATTGTTTCAATATCCTGAGTACACGCCCTAATTAAAACTTTCATTGCTACCTTAGCTCACCAGTCACATACTCCACCAATCCTACCCCTTGTCCCATAAAATCATTTTAGTGTTGGAGCATATAGCAAATCTCAAAAACCTAGAAACCAAATTGCTGTCCCACTTAAGCATTTGAAGATTATAGGACAAGTGATTGCAACTGTTCAGATCTATTCAGAAACCAGAATTTGCAGATTTCCTGTGATACTATGGTACCTGAATAGGATATCTTTACACAATCATTTGCTTTGACCTTGATGACCATATGCAAAAAGCACTAGATAAATTTGATTATACAGAAAGCACAGCACAATGATGATAGCTTTCACAAGAGGCTCAAAGTCAAGTTCCTACTGATGTATTTCACCGGTTTTGTAAAAGTCTTTCCTGATGACAGTGAACAATAATCCAAAAAGATGTTCAGCGATTAAGCGTAAAAAACAGATTAAAAGCTTGTCAAAATAGATTTCTTTCAAAATTGGAGATGAGATTAATATACATGAAAGCAAACCAGATAAAAGGGATGCACAGCGTATGTAAACTTACAAATCAGATCAATCGCTTGTCATTCTGTGATGACTTACAGCAGCAACTGACCTGTTTGGCTTATCAAATTGAACAGGCTCATGAGCTGACTGAGAACAAACTATTGCCGGTTCAGTTTCTTTCTTGTTTTTTGTCGTTAGTGTTGTTACTGTGACTGACGTGGCCGAAGGTCTAGAAGGATTTGTGATAGTGTCTATTGGGCAAGAAGTGGAGACCTCCTTCTCTTCGCTACAGCTATTCCTTTCAAAACTTCTGATGTCCAGGTATTCCCCACTATCCACGGTTTGATTCTCAGGCACTTGTTCTGTCATGGCTGGAGGATGCACCGTGCTGTCAGTGGTGGTAGCCACAGCAGCAAAACTCTGCCGCTTGAGCTCTTCTATTTCACTGTTAGAATTGAAACAAAATCAATTATGTGCATAATACAACATTCTTGACATTCTATTAAGAAGTTTTTAAACTTTGACTGTTGTAAAACTGCAACCACATAATATGCAATTTACAAATATTGGCATGTCCAATAAATATTTCACGAAAACTGCCATAATGCAATAGCGTTAGTGACAATTATGCGGTACTCTGTGCAAAAGCAAATGTTTCAATCCTAGCACAAACAGATATTTGAGTTCAGCTAACTTTAATACAGGAAAACAAATGGATTGGAGCTGAACAGGGGGATTGATTTTGACAACTCAGTCAGGTGGAGAAGCAAGGACTTAAGAAAAATTGAGCTTGGAGAGGAAGTTAGACACCAGCTGCAGAGGGGAACTTCAACTCGTATTGCAGCAGTTTAGAATGAATAGTGTGGAACAAAGTCAGAATTGTTTCTCAATTAAAATTGAAGGAAGCACATAGGATTAAGTGCCCTCAATGATAATTTACAGACCTGCAGACAGTGAAAAGAATGATCAACAAAATGAGTGGTAAGGTGTTAAAAGATAGCAAGAACTGCAGATGCCAGAGTCAGAAATAACACGTACGTAACAAACGACAACACCTTCTGGTTGCCACCTATTTTGTCTCCCCCGCTCCTACTCTCTGGGTGACATGACCATCCTGGGCCTCCTCCAGTGTCACAATGATACCACCCGCAAACCGGAGGAGCAGCACCTCATATTCCACCTCGGGAGCGTACAGTCCCATGGGCTAAACACGGAATTCACCAGTTTTAAAATCTCCCCACCCCCAGCCTCATCCCATGACCAACTCTCCTTCTCATTCCCACCTCCTTGACCTGACACAACCTGTCGATCTTCTCGCCCACCTATCCACCCCTCCCACCCCACTGACCAATCCCCACCACTCCCTGCCTGCACTCACCTATCACCATCCCCCTACCTTCCCCATATATTTCAAAGGTTCCTTCCCTCCCCATTTCTGAAGAAGGGTCTCGACTCGAAACATCAACTTTCCTGCTCCCCTGATGCTGCCTGGCCTCCTGTGCTTCTCCAGCTCCATACTGAGTGACAAAGTTGTTGTCTTGTATTAAAATACAGGTCTTGTATTGGAAATTTAAAAATGTTCACAGGAGACAGAGGTAAATTTTTGCTAAACTGGACAAAGATTCCACATACCTTTACAATCTCACATACCTCTTAAGCTGTCTGATTTGCATTGTAAGGGTTATTTTCTCATTCTTTAAGATATGAAGTTGATCTCGTAGCTCTTGCACTACTTTAGTTTGCTGGAAAAGAATATACAACATATTAACATGTAGAAATCAATTTGATACAGCTTTACAAAGGGATTCTGTAATGTGTGGGTACCTGTTTTAAGCATGACCTTATCCATTATGTAAATTAAGGCTAAATATTTAAATAGGACATTACTTACTTGGGGATGGGGGGGTGGTGATGGAAGCACATACCAGGTCACTTTAAAAACTTCACACAGATTTCCGTATTAAAATGTGTATAATGTTCTATTCTGGGTTGCTTATTTAGCAATTGGAATAGAGAAGATGAGGGGGGAAAAAATTATAAAAGGAATCTAAGGGGCAACTTTTTCATGCAGAGGGTGGTGCATGTATGGAATAAGCTGCCACAGGAAATGGTGAAGGCTGGTACAATTACAGCATTTAAAAGTCATCTGGACAAGTACAAGTACATGAATAGGAAAGGCTCGGAGGTATGGGCCAAACGCTAGCAAATTGGACCAGATGAATTCAGGATATCTGGTCAGCATGGATGATTTGGACCATAGGGTCTATTCCCATGCTGTACTTATCTATGACTATGAATAGCAGGTAATATCCGTGGAATATAAACCAACAATTGAATCTAAACCTCTACCTTTAGGTAGAAACAGCACAGCTAAGCATACAGCATAGCTTGGACCTGCACCCATCCTGATTTGCATGATCCCACAAGACATCAGGTATGGGGCTACCAAGACAGCATTTTCTCATTTTCAGAATGCAATGTAGCATATATCAGATACAAATTAATGACACAAGGGAAGCAGTTTATTTTTAAGCTTTTCCTGAACAAGTTTGGTTTAACATTTATTAAAAAGCTACTAGCTTAAGCTGTATTTCTGAGCCCCATTCTGCTCGCCCAACAAAATGGCAGATGTAAAAAACACTTGGATTTGAATGCTACTATCACAAACAGCTGAACTAGTTTTAAAATATAGACACTATTCTGCTCTGTTGAACTTTCTCTTACCTCTTCTAACTGCAGGTGCTGCAAAGTGGCTGGTTCTTGGACACTCGGTAGCACTTCCAAGTCACCTGGCTCCACTTCAACAGCCACATCCTTCATTTCTTTTGATGAGGTTGCATGGCTTCCATACTCCCGATACATCTGCAACAGGTCTGGCGGCTTCGGAATGTTTAATCCAACATCATCCCACAACTCAAAATCCTGAAGTGGTTGAACAAAAAACACTGAATAATACTTTCCATGGGAACTCTTCCATCACTCTAAATTAAATGCATTACCAAGTATAATACTGATTACACACAAGTGCCTTGCAACAAAAAAGAATTTTTGCACCTGATTTCGTGAATCTGTAATAATCACAGGAAAATGTACATGGTCCAACTTTACCCAAGTTCAAGCTGGACGACCAGTGGAATAATCAACTGGACCAGACAACGGCAGGGGCTGTATGTCTAGGTCCTAATTAAATTATGCATAGACAAAACATTATTAGGTATTTTAAGAGATCACATATTTTTCCTTTTCTTGGGGACCACGAAGTGCAATGGAAGTTAGACTGCTATAATTGGAGTACCAGGAAAGTTCTGCAACTTGAAAATCAAGTGCTGCATACATTGGTTAGCTGTGTAACATAATGTTGCTTTTCGGAAGCAGTTCAAGTGATAGAGTGTTAAAAAACTTTCGGCGCCAAGAGCAGCAGATTGGAAAACACATCCAGAGGCTGCAGACAGCAAGCATTCATCTCTTCATCTCTGTCTTCATATGAAGAAGGTACAGAGAAGAAAGCAAAACACCTTATAAGATATATTTCATAGAAGAAAAGACTTTTTTTCCTGTTTACTGGGGGCACCTTTACTATGAGGTCATTAATTAATCCTGTCTCTTCACACATTACCAGATGTGGAATAGTTTGCTTTCTAGAACATGCTGCTCTTCGAAACTGTCCCAAAAACACTCGAACTTATCGTCCAGGCTACTTTTGCCAACATAATTGGTCTAATCCATACAGATTGAAATCATACACAATCATTCTTTGCATAAACACTTTTTAGTTCTTCCTATATATCCCTAATGCTCGGGGGCATCTCAACTACTTCCACAAATTACTTCTTACATTTATTATTTATCATCATCCAAACTGATTCTTCATCTTTAGAACGGAGATCACCACCCGCTATTGCACTAATTTTTTTCTTAAGGTACCAGCTCTTTCAATGTCCCTGTCCTTCCGAAATGTCATGTACACTTGAATATTCAATATAAATCATTTAAAACAACTAGTTATAAATGTAATGGTGATTCTTCCGTCAACCATTCTGTTCAGACACACCACTTAAAGGCTACAAGGAGCCTTTATATAAATAGGTATGTTCTACATCATAGAAAGTAAGTAGTATTCAAATATTAATTAAACACTTGATTCTGCATAATGTATACTTGAAATATTATTACCTGGTCATCATTTTCATCTGAAAAGGTTATTGAGGTGAGTTTGTAATTAATCTTCAATAAATATTCATTCACTAGGAAATTTAATGCTCTTTTCTCAAGAGGTTTAACAGCTTCCTATATAAGAAAAATGAAAATTTGAGCTCGATAAAGCAAAGCATCCATGAATATTCTGTGAATGGAAAACATCAAGTTTTTTCCCCACAGGCTAGATTAAAGTAGCTAAGCAAGCTTCACCCTTCTACAGATATTAACAAAAATCCTTTAGCAATTATTGAAAACTTTAGAAACATAATTTCCCATTATTGTTTCACATTCATATCATTGGAACATGATTAAAGATACAACACTCATTCTTTTCCAAAACAGTACACACAAAATAATTACATTATTGATCAGTTTACAGAAGGATTTAAAAATAAATATTCATGCAATGTGGGTACTTATTACCCATCCTTGCTGCCCAGGAGACAGTTAAGAGTAAGTCACATTCCTGTGGGTCTGGTGTTACAGGCCACACCATGCAAGGATGGCTGTCCTTTCCAAAAAGGAATTAGTGAACCAGATGGGTTCCAACTATTGACAATAGTTTCATGGTCTTCATTAGATGCTTAATTCGAAATTTTTTTTAAAAAAAACTGAATTCAAATTACACCATCTCCCATGGCAGGATTGGAACCCATATCCTCAGAACATTACCTCGATCTCTGGATTAATATTCTAGTAATAATACCATCATCTCCTAATCACATGATGTACCTGTACACTAATTTTTTGTGATTCATCGAAATTCCTCCAGATCATAGGGTTCGGCAAGGTCTCTCTTTAAATAGAACCTGCTGCTCTGTTCTTTCCAATAAAGTGGACATGTTCACATTTTTCCATGTTGTACTCCATCTGTTAAATTTTTGCCCACTCACACAACCTATTTATAATCAAATTGCAGTCTCATGTCCTCTTAACAACCTATTTTCCCAACTACATTTGGGCCATCAGTAAATTTAGCAGCCTAAACGTCAGTATCTTCGTTCATTTCATTAATATAGATTACAAATAGTTGAGGGCCCAGCGCTGTGATATTCTATTAGATACAGCTTGCCAACTTGAAAAAGAGCCAATCACCTCTATTCTCTACTTCCTGGCAGCTAACTAATCTTCTATCTATGCTAAAATGTTGACCCTACAGACCTTCCACCAGGACCTCTTATTTTGTGCAGTAACCTTTGAAAATGCCTTCTGGAAATCCATGCATAACACATCCATAGGTTCCCTTTTGTCCATACTGTTTGTTACACTCCTCAAAAGAACACCAATAAATTGGTCAATTGTGATTTCCCTTTCACAAAACCATGTTGACTCTGCCTGATTGTTTTGAGATTTAAGTGTCCTGCTACAACCACCTTAAGATTCCAACATTTTCTCTATGACTGACGTTAAGCGAACTGATCTGTAGCTTAAATAAAACAAAGAACTATGAATGCTGGAACTCAAACAAAAACAGCAGAAGTGTTGGAGGAACTCGACAGATCTGGCAGAATCTGTAAAAAAGTACAATAGAGTTAATGCTTCAAGTCCAATGACCATTTATCGGTTCAGATGAAGGGTGACTAGACTCAAAACATTAACTCTTGTTGTTTTTAGCATTTGGAAAGTTAAAAACCATGCACCTACTATCTCAGTAGCAACTTCTTTTAAGATCTTAAGATGCAGGCCATCAGGTCCTAGTGACTTTACAGCCTTCATTCTAATAGTTTTCATTTCGTTGGTGGTTGTAACTGCTTTAAGTCCTTCCTTTCATTTTGCCTTTTGGGTTACAAGAATTTCTGTGATATCATTTGTGTCCTCAAGAGTGAAAACAGACAGAACATCTGAATGTTTCTACCATTTTGAACTTCCCATTGTTAATTCCCCAGGCTCACTCTAGAGACCAATACTCATTACTTTCTTTAAGAAACATACAACCCTGGCTTCTTTACCTACAACACACATTTTTGTAAAAATGCACCATAAATATACTTAATCAATTCTATTTCATCTTGTTTAAATGGAAGTAGATGGCAAATAATCTAAAACCAATATTTAACTTAGTAAGGGCTCAGTTTGGCATGGGTTGATGCAGAGTATTAAAACAATTACTGCTTCATTAAGAAGTGCAACGTACATGTCTCGGACCTCAGAATCATACAATACAATCCTACACAACAGAACAAAGGCATATGGCCCACTGTGTTTGTGTTGGCCTCTTGAAAGAAGGACTCAATTATTCCCATTCCCCCAGTATTAATCCACAGCCCTGTGAATATATACTCTTCAATTATAATTGAATTCCTTTTCAAAAGTTACTCTCAAACTCATTTCCAACAATCAAGCAGTGAATTGCAATCATAATTTGCTGCAAAAAAAAAAAAAAAAATTTCTCATCTCCCCCAGCTCTCTTGCCGATTATCATAAATCTGTGTCTTTGGGTTAATGACTCTCCTGCTGGTGGAATATGTTGCTTTTTATTTGCTTATTCAACCCCAACAATTTTGATCACCTTAAATCTCTTTGCTGTCTTTAGGGCCTTACATTGTACGAACAGTTTTTGAATACAAATTTAAAAATATTATATCCAAAAGTACTCTGCTCACATAAAAACAGCAGTAAAAGGAAAATAAGAACGAGATGGCCAAATAGAAGATGTCATTATAATTTTGAGAATTGAAATTCAACAATCAGAATGAGTGATTTGGAGATTAGAAAGTGCTCAGGTTGTGGACGAGGCTGTAGACTGAACCAACAGGTTTGGTGATGAAACGTTTGCAACCAAACCCACCGGCTCCGTGAGCACGTCTACAACCTCAGTGCTCAGTTTGCACCATTGATCGTGCTTGTTGCCTCATCTAGTACGTTGCATTGCTTCATATTTTAGAAAACTGTTTAGATAACACACAGGAAAAGGCAATTTGAGATACAAGTGAATTTCAACAATCAAATCAGAAATACATGCTTTTCTTTATGCACCCCAATCCCAAGTTACGCATTCTGATTGGATCACAGAAATTTAACATTTTTACAGGTCGGTTATTTCTGGAATCCCAGATAACAAGCACGCCAAAATGTTGGCCTTCCCGTCCTTACACTAGGACCTTTTATTTTGTGCAGTAACCTTTGAAAATGCCAGCAAGGGAGAAGCAAGGCAAAAGTGCTTTCTGGGAATCAAGGAGAAAAGAAATATTATTTACAACTCAGATGGGGCACGAGAACAACTGTGCTTGGACTTTTGGAGAACTAATTGAACACAGCATGGAAATGTATCCAAGGAGAATGTGTAGAGTAACAGACTGTATGTTGGAAATCATAACTTGTGTACAACTAAAAACATCTGGTGCATTCTTATTTTTTGCGGTTGACTTTTTGGGGATGTGGCAGGAGAGTGGTGGAGAAAACAAAGTGGCTACCGTAGATACTGCATTAGCAAATATTGTTGGGAATTGCAACATGCCAAATCATGGAAGTTGGTAAGGTACAACTACCTCTGTTAATTGCAACTTAACAGAATGTGGTGTTAGAGCAGTTAAAGTAGTATCAGAAAGACAAAATAGAGGATAATTTAGAAAAGACACTGTTGGTATGAATGGATATTGCCTACCTCTGTATGTAACCAAGGAAGTTTAGGAATTTATCATAGGATAGGCAAAGTATATATCAAAAATATACGTATTCAGACACAAATAATTCACTTGAAAAGGAGCAAGGATCAATTTTACCTTACAAGAACATCTTTATTCCAAAAACAACAAGGCCAGGTGTTCAAACACCCAAAAAAAAACCTGCTCCATGAAAGTATTTTGCTTCCTCTGGTAGTATCAAGCTTCCCAATAAATTAAAACTTATTTTCTTTGCCCCTACAATATCTTACCTGAATTTCAGGGCTGGATTTATAATTTTTCCGTTCCTGTAAAGGAACATCATTTTCTGTGAAGGCTGAAAAAGCAAAAGTAGATTTACACGAATGTTAAATGTTCGAGGTTTGTTTATGCATTATGAAAGCAGAAAGAGAAGAAAGTATAATGTACACCACCTGCAGCTTGTGTCAGGTTGGCACGAAGGGACTGAATGGTCTCCTTGGCTTTCCGTAGTTCAAATTCCAGGACTGGACAGGGATTGTATTAAACACACAGAGGAATCCAACCAAGAAAAAGGAAAAATAAAAACAAGGATGGGTGTGAAAATAAAAGAAAAAACAGTTTTGAAACAGAACGCATGCAACTTATGGAATCTTGTGAATACATGCAGCAGAGTTTGCATCAGAATAGCTTGGTGAAATTTTTTCCATACTTTCACATACTTAATGCGATCTAAATCTTCAATTTGTTTCTAAGAAAAAAAAAAGGATGCTCTTAATGAAAACAGTAAAATGATATACATAATCATAATCCTACAGCACAGAGACAGGTCCTTCAGCCCAAACTGGTCCACGTGGACCAAAATGACAAACCATGCTAACCCCATTTCACTGCAGTTGGCCCATATCCTTCTAAACCTTTCCTATCCACTTATTCATCCAAAAGTCTTTTAAAATGTTGTTAATGTACCCGCCTCAACCATTTCTGCTGAAAGCTCATTCCATAGGTGTATCACACTGTAAAAAAATGTTGCCCCTCAGGTTCTCACGTTTTCTTTCCCCTCTTAACTAGAGGGCATCAGTTTAAGACCTTGATTCCCCAACTCTGGGGAAAAAAGACTGAGTGCATTCACCCTTATCCACGCTTCTCATGATCTGATACACTTCTATAAGATCCACCCCCCTCAGTCTCCTATGCTCTAAAGAAAAAAAAAGGTCCTAGCTTGTCCAACCTGTCCCTTAAACTCAGTCCGTTCAGTCCTGGCAACATGCTTGTAACTTTCTTCTGCACTCTTTCCAGTTCAATAACATCCTTCCTATAGCAAGGACATCAAAACTGAACACAATACTCCATGTACGGCCTCATCAATGCCACGTACAACAGCAACATAACTTCCCAACTTCTATACTCAGTACCCTGACTGATGAGGGCTGGTGTGCCAAAAGCCTCCTTCACTGCCCTGTCTGTGACTCCACTTTCAGAGAACCATGCACCTGAACTCCAAGGTCCCTCGGTTCCACTACACTCCTTAAGGCCCTACCATTCACCACGAAACTCCTACTTTGGTTGGACTTTCCAAAATGTCAAAAATAACCTCTCACTTATCTCTGTTAAGCTTAATTTGCAATTTCTCGGCCAACTCCCCCAGCTGATCAAGATCCTGCTGCAATATATCTGATAACCTTCCTCACTGTCCATGATACCGCCTATTTTAGTGTCATCTGCAAACTCACTAATCACACTTTGTACATTCTCATCCAAATCATTGATGTAGATAACAAATCCAGCACCGACCCTTGAGGCACACCACTAGTCACAGGGCTCCAGTCAGATAAGCATCCTTCCAGTATTATCCTCTGCTTCCCACCATCAAGCCAATTGTGTATCCAATTTGCCAGCTCTCCCTGGATTTCATGCGATTTAACCTTCTACAACAGCCTACCATGTGGTATCAAAGGCCTTACTGAAATCCACATCTACCGCCCTGCCCTCACCAACCTTCCTGGTCACATTAAAAAACTCTAACAAATTTGTGGGGCATGATCTCTCACACACAAAGCCATGCTAACTACTCCTAATCAAACCTTGTCCTTCCAAATGCATATATATCTTATTCCTCAGAATCTTCTCAAGTAACTTACCTACTACAGATGTTAAGCTTACTAGTCTATAGTTCCCAGGTTTTTCTTTGCAGCCCTTCTTGAATAAGGGCACTACATTCACTATCCTCCAGTCTTCCAGGACCTCACCCGTGGCTAACAACGATGCAAATATATCAGCCGCCCCAGCAATTTCTTCTCTAGCCTCTTGCAGGGTTTGTGGATATATCTGGTCAGGGCCAGATTTATCCACCTTCATACATTATAAAACATCCAACACCTCCTCTACTGCGATATGGACTATCCCCAAGATATCACCACTAACTCTCCCAAGTTCACGTCTTCATGTCTTCTCCTCAGTAAACAGAGAAATATTCATTGAGGACCTCGCCCATCTCCTGTGGTTCCACATATACATGTCCATACATTCACGGAGAAAAAAAAATTATCCTGGTTAAAATTGTACAAAAAATATACTGAAGCATCAAGTAGTCAGCAGTTATACTTAATCCCTACAGCAACTATTGGCAACTATTACAAAAATTACAGGGAATTATCAAGTTTCAAGCAGACAAAAGGACAAAGATGCTATGAAAAGCGGAGCAAGATATTTGAAATAATTAAAATACATTAGAGATTATCCCAGTAGGTATAACTACAGCAGCAATGGCAAAAGTAGAAACAGCGAAACAAAGTGTTCCTTTATAGCAATCCTAAATAAAAGGTGAGCACTCACAACACAGAAACATTTCACAATAAGCCTCTTCATTTGGAGAACACATGACCTTGTTTATAATTACTGCTACTAAATAGATGTTGTGAAATTTATAGGACTAGTGCAATGACACGCTTTCACTCTTTCTTGTACTGAACAGGCTCTGTGTATCAGTAGCAATGGTACTGGTTCCAGTGTCATGCATTTTAAACAACACAGTGCAGTGTTTTGGAAACTGCAGTTTTCTCTAATTTTCTAATATCTTAAAATCTTCAAGGACAAGTAGGAACAATTCTGAAAGTGATGGGTAATTTCACCAACATCTGTTTTCATCTGGACAGCTAGAAGTAGACTTCTGCTCTATATTCATATGTAACACACTGGTGAGCATGGTAGTTCAAGGAAGGTAGGCATGACTAACAAATCCTGTGAACATACTGTGTCACCATTCCAAATGTGCATTTTTAAATTTCTGGTCCAAGAAAATGACCAGTCTAGTTTTCAGCTTTAGGTGCATGGGCTTGCTCCATTTTGGGAACCAGAAAGTGGAAGCTCAGTGTTTTCAAACTTAGTCCCAGTTAACTTCCGCTGAAGTCTTTTTACTTTCATTGTTGGTTATGGATCTAACAGATTGCAATTAGCTACATGCTCGTTAAAGCATAACGGTAGCGCTTGCATCCTCATTCTGGCATTACCAAGATAGATTTTGTAGCTGATACCGTCTATTCTAACAATTTAAACAACAGATTTTCTTCTGAAGGATTTATTCTGGCAGCAGGTTGCTATGCATCATTCATTCATGAGTAGGACAGGAACATAGTGCAATTGAACAAGGTATATCATACTCCATTTTGTGGCACATTCTCTTCCAGGATATAAGACTGCATATTCAAGTTGCTATGGAAATGCAAATTTAATGTTGTCACGAAATACTGCTGCCTTCTATGTGCTGAATTGTGAGCTCTATTCTGTCAGTACGCTATGTACTTATATCTTCAGCCATGGCGGGGAAGATACATCTTACAATTTACAGCATCACAAGAAACAGTGAATGGGAGACCTCTAGCTTGAGGTCATTTTTCCATTGACTTTATAATTTTCAACTGTCATATTAAATGGTTTACAATTTAATGCAAATATGTTTTTGTTGGACAAAAATAACCTTTTTACAATTCACTGTGTGACAATGAATTCTTTGTGGGTATTAATTAAATGATGGTTTGCAAATTGGTAATAGGTACTGATATACTAGCTAGAAGCTCACTGATTAGTCTAAAACAGTTGATTCTAATCACAAAGCAAGGTAAAACATCTAATTGTGTCTCCGAGGAAGGGTGTGTGACAAAGAACAATACTCATGGTAAATCATGGAGAAGGCTGTGCTCCAATTGGCCCAATTGTTTTAATTGCTTTTTAAATTATTACTTTACATTTTATAGAGCGGTAACTTGGTAAAGGTTGATTAATATTGTAATAAAATGGATTTCATGAAATGTATGCATTTAAAAAAAATCACCAAAGATAGTTCACATAAAAAAGCCTATTTTCAGTTCAGATCAGAGCACAGCATTCAACTCTTTAGTAAACAAAGAAATAATTAATTGAAAACATAATTTATACAGTTCAAGTCCCCAAAAGGTTTCAGTTGAATTTTTGGAACTTCCTCAAATGCCTGCAGTCAAATTCATTTATTCTAACTCCCAATATAGATGGGTTCATCCTGGGGGCTGTGCCCACAAAGTCAGCTTTTAGTGAGCTGTCTTTAAAAGCAGTGCACAGGATTGTAAAAACCTGAATTATGCTCAAAATTCTGTAATTCTTTGAACGGGTTACACCATGTGGAGATTGATTAAAAAAATGCAATTCAGCAAAAATTCCTGGCCAAAATACCTATTGGAACAGCAATCCATGTCCCTATGCATAATACACAACAGGACCATCATCAATCTTACACACTGCAAAGATTTTATTTGACTAAAACACTGCAAATACCAGTTAGCAGTCATTAGATATGGATTCTTTAGATATTTTCTGTTGCACAACAGTTGCCTGAAGATAATTCAACTGCAAGACCATACAACGAATGAGAAAAGACAGTCTGCCTGCGTCAATTAATACCCAAGTATAACTATAATGTCAGGGATTTCCATCGCACATAATCCCAACTGAAAGGTTACCAAGATAGTAGGAACTGCAGATGATGGAGAATCGGAGACAACAAGGTGTAGAGCTGGATGAACACAGCAGGCCAAGCAGCATCATAGGAGCAGGAAAGCTGATGTTTTGGGCCTAGACCCTTCTTCAGAAATGGGGGAGGGGAATGGGGTTCTGAAATAAATAGGGAGAGAAAGGGGGAGGCGGATAGAAGATGGATAGAGGAGAAGATAGGTGGAGAGGTGACAGACAAATCCTGCCTTTGACCTGTCTGTCTCCTCTCCACCTATCTTCTCCTCTATCCATCTTCTATTCACCTCCCCACCTCTCTCCCTATTTATTTCAGAACCCCCTTCCGGAGGAGGGTATAGGCCCGAAACGTCAGCTTTCCTGCTCCTCTGATGTTGCTTGGCCTGCTGTGTTCATCCAGCTCTACACCTTGTTATCTCTGAAAGGTTACCAAGATATTTTTCCCCCACCTCTCCTGCAAAAAAAAACAGTATTGTTCATAACTCTATTGATATTAAACTCCTGTCAACCACATCTGTGTTATATTTAACTGACATCTTTAAAGCAAAAAAATTAAAAACATTGCCTAAAGAAACGTACAGTATGGAAAAAAATTCACACAGTTTATAATTGCCAACAGATCATGATAAAATTTCAGTTTGGATCAAAAACAAAACAATCTAATTTGGTCTTGAAATGTGCTGGCATAATATTATGTATGCACAGATCAAGAGCTGATAGAGATACAAGCATAGGCTACACAGCATTCTAAAGCATTGTTGA